CTCAGTGAGGGGTGCTACGGGGAGGTGACTTCAGGTCACTGGGAGGCACGCCATGGGGGCACTGTGGAATGTTGGTTCCTTCCTCTCCCTCTTTACTTCCCAGATACCCTGAGGTGAGCTGCCTTGCTCTAACACGCTCTCCTGCCACCACAATCTCCAATGCAATGGCCCAACCAACGATGGACTGAATTCTCCAAAACTATGAGCCAACATAAACCCTTCCTCTTTCTCAGCTAATAATCTCAGGTATTTTGTTAGAGTCATATAGAGCTAATATAGGGATGCAGAACACAGTTTTTTCCTGGGGAGGCTGATGGCTTGGTGCTGACCCTGAAGGGAATTGATTCTTGAAAGTTTTTCAACTACATAAGCACCTTGACTCCATTCAGCAGGTTAACAAAAAGTACACAGCTTCAATCTTATCAGAGTTTGTGTCTGTGCAAGCTATCTCCCCAAGTATATTTGCCATCAGTATCTGCTACATTTCCTTAGATAACAGTGCAAATATAAGAATAAAGGGGAAATGAACCCACAATGAGTAATGGATGAGAAGGAAGGGATAGAGGTGTTGGGAGAGGAGAGTTGAGGATGAGGAATGTGGAATGAGTGGGAGAGGAATTGTGCCAGATATTGTGTGTTTAATAAAGGTCTGGTATGTGCTGCTCAACAGTGCTAGGCTGAGGAGGAGACGAACTAAGCATGTGGTTACCCTGAAAAGGACAGTGATATATACTGAGCACTTACTGTTTTCTTACACATGATATTGAGTCTGATTACATGTTATCTCATTTAATTTTTGTTAAATAAAATAGGAGGGTTTTTTCCCCTCAATTTCAACAGTGTAAAAAAACAAACCAACCAACCTCAGAGATTAATTTCCTTAAGGCCGCATAGCCAGTAACTACGATAGATTGTTTAGATCTCTAAACTCTGAAAGCCAACACTTTCTATTCTGACACCCTGACTTTCAGGGAAGTTTCTGTTTTAGATTTAACCCTTTAAGGAATATTCACAAATTTAAGAGATGCTCACAAATTTATTTTAATCATTTTGTATAGAAACATTTTCTCCCCTTAACAAAAGCTAATCTATAATAAATAAGAAAAATACTTCAAAATAAAGAAAGGTAAAAGTAAAAAGTTCCTCCCTCATCATGCATTTTACTCTCTAGAGTCTAGAGGAACTATTATTGATAATTTGGTGTACAACTCTCCATACCCTTGCCTATGCTATCTTATAAATTAATCATATTATGTACATACATTTAGCAACTTTTTTCCTTCACATGAATGACATATGTATCATTATATTCTATACCAGCACATACAGATCTAATATTTTATTGCTTGCAAGAAAATTCAGTCCATGGATAAACACATTTTCCTAACTATCAACATTTAGGTTGATTCTGATTCTTCACTATTACAAACAGTGCTGACATGAATTGCTGAAATGAATATTTTTATATAAGTACCTTTTCACATGCATCCTTTAATTCCAGCAAAGAGAATAAGCCTTTTATATTTCAATAGGTAATTCAGAAAAGAAGTGTACATTTTCCAAAACAGTGACAGCCCCATGCTTCACTATAAATCTTTCCAAGAGGGGAAAATTTCAATCTAAAAAATTTTTTATAAACTACTAGGTGAAAAAAATAGCCACTCAGGTGGTTTGAACTTGACATTCCTTTGATTACCACAGGAAGAGGACAAGACTTAGTTGAAGGGCAGATACTTGGGGTTTCCCAAAGTCATTCACCCAAGCTAGTGATTCATGTCATCACACACTAATTTCAGAGTACATGCAAATTTGTACCCCACCAGAATGCACACATTTTCATTCATTTCTGAGTATCTCCTCTGAGCCAGGAACTGGTCCAAATGATAGGGGTACAGTAGAAAGCACAAAGAGCAGGTCCCTGTGCCGTTGGAACATACACTCGAGGCAGAAGAGTCAAAATAAACAAGTCAACACATAGATGAATTCTGTCATGGCTAATAAATCTTACAAGGATCCTCAAAAACTACTAGAGCTTTGTATATGAAACCCTATGATTGTAACAAGGACCCTGACAGATATATGTACTCAAATGGCCCTGATGGCTCCTTTTGGTTGTTTCAAACTCTAATTCAAGCCAAAAGTCTAAGTCATCATCCTTCCATACAAATCTGGGCTTCTCCCATGCTTCCCATCTTAGTGAATGGGCAAGATCAAACATTAGGGACTAGCTGGGGATTTAGCTCAGCGGTTCGGTGGCCTGCCTTGCAAGTGCAAGGACCTGAGTTCGATTCCTGATACAAAAAAAAAAAACATTAGGGACCACCCCTGCTATCACTTCCTCCCTCAGTCTTCCTATATAATCTACCGTTGAATTGGGTTTACTTATCTCCTAAATATTTTCGGGTGTTCTCTCTGCCCATCTTCACAACCATTCTAGTGTGATCTACCATTACTGCCAGCCTGCACACCGCCTTAGCCAAACTGATCAGTTCTCTCCCCCATGAATTCTTCACTGTTGTTCATATTTCAATTCTTCCTCCATGAAAACTTCCAACAGCTAAAAAGAAATCTTCCCTCTTTTTAAGTTGATTACCTCAGGTGTCTTGTTACAAAAATGGAAAGCTTAGCACTGTCATCTTACTGTTCAGTTTGTTAGCTCAGGCGAAGGAAGAGTTACATTCTTTAAGGTTAGGTTTAAACTATCTTGGAACTGAGTCACAAGCACCATTGTCACCACGGCTAATATTTATGAAGCTCTCCCTCACTGTGCAGGCTCTCTCTGAAGTGTGTTAGAACCTTCATTTTAATTAAGCCTCACTTATGACATATAAACCTCTATCATCCCTATTTACTGCAGGCTTGGAATAGTTCAGTATATTGCCCAGAGTTACACAAACATCTACCACAAAGCCATATTAAATGGTTAAATGAAGTTTTATTCACATTTCTGCACATAACCAGGGAATGTATCTGCTAAAATAGCAATTCCCCGCTCTTAAGTATTGGAGTCAAACAGTTGAAATTTCAATTTCTCATCTGTGAAATGGAAGTGACAATCACTTAAGATATTTTTGCTTTTGGCATTCTCTGGTCCTAAAACATTTCCATGAAAGGACTGTCAGGAAAAGACCAGAGTCTTTTCTAAGCGCTATTTTAGTGTCTTTAGCCAACACTGTGTGGCTGGCTAGTGCATAGACACTGGAAGTCATGCTTTCTGAAGCCCCTGTCCAGCTGCCTACTGTGGAATGTAATGTTTGGGTCTTTGTTTGTAATCATTATATTTGAAAAAGGTTCAGCGTTCAGCATTCTTCATAAAAGTTGGACAGCTTTTTAAAACATGATAGCAGTGGTTTAAGGATTGAAGTTTATAATCTAATGGGATTTCTATCTGCCAGGCCTATTTTCTTATTATATTGACCCAGATAATTGCTGTCTCTGAAATCTTAATTCTACAGATGGGGTCCTCCAGGACAGAAGTGGAAGCAGACCTGTTTCTCTGAAAACACAGCTCAGTTTCAGAGGCATGCGAAGGCTGTGGCATTTGAGATGGACATGCATGGCAAAGGGGGAAAGACCAGGCAAAGATGTGGCAGTTTTCTGAATTTGCATTCACAGTCTAAATTGGCAGTGGATCCTCTGATGGGATTTCAGGTACAGAAATTTAGAGATTTAGTCCATTTCCTAGTGCATTGTGGGTGTCCAACATCTAGTCTTATCGCCTTCAGACAATTAATAGGTCCTCTATCCTGCAAAAATAAATACATAAAATCTTACAAGGCACAGGGCTTTGGGGCTACAAACTTTCCATGTTTCTTGCCCTTTTACAACTCTCCCTTCATTTATTCTTAACATTCATCTTGAGTTATTGTGGAATCCTATCTGAGTAAGAGTTGGTTTCACCTGAGCAATTCTCAGGTCCTCTCAAGTTTATAAAAATGGAAATTCAGTGGTTCCACCACCTGCCTTGCAAGTGCAAGGTCCTGAGTTTAATCCTGGGTACCAAAAAAGAAAAGAAATTCTGCCCACACTTTCACACTACATCTTTTCCCTTAAAAAAATACAAGACTCAGTTTGATCTGCAAGCAAACTGTGAGCTTCCACTGACAACTTAAAGGTGTACGGTCGGTTATACATAAAAGGGTGAAGAAGGTAAAATGAAATAAAACAGGGTGGAACTTCCAAGGGAATTTATAAGTCTGGTTTGCAAAGTCACTCCTACACCCTAATTTGAAAAGGGTTGAAAGAGCCTGTACAGTCTGTCACTTTGCTGCCCTTTTCTGCCTGGTTTCACTCATGCAGATACACACTTCTGTTTCTAAGAGATACAACAAGACACACACAAGAAGACCATGCTGGAAAGTCGACGGGGGATTGGTGTACAGGCTAAAAGGAGGAAGCTGATGAGACTGTAGGTGGTCGGGCACCTCAGGGAAGAGAATGAGCAAGAGGTTAAGTGAAGAAAGTGAGTGGATACAAAGAAAGTAGAAAAGTGGCGTCAAACACGGTGAGCTGTTGGTGTCTGGCAACACAGACTCGGAATTGTGCCACCGTTCCCTCCAATGCTCATGACACAGAACCTCCCAGGAATGAAATAAATCCACTCTGGGCCAATATGGTTGTCACTATTTCTAGAACCTAAAAGCATGTAGCTGATGAAGGAGAAAAAGTAGGAATTTCACGAATAGTGCTTTTGCCCCGGTCGATTCAGCTTCAGAGATTAAGAAATGCCTATTAACTATTTGAGAGGAGTCCAGGGGTGTGGATTTCCTTCTTTTCAGTACCCCTTCCGAAAGGGCCTGGGCTTATAAAGGAGGAAAACAACAGGTTCCCTCAGGCAGAAACTCGATCCAGTACCCGCACCGGCTGGTGCCCGTGCCAAGAGCCGCCGAAGCTCAGCCCAGGCCGCCACCACTGCCCGGCCGGTGGCCAGCTCTGCCAGGCCAGGAAACAATGGCTTCCTTCTCCCTGGGCTCCGGTGAGTCCCACTTTCTACGGCTCACCTGTTGGGAGCCAGGTGAGGAGGAGCAGCCAAGCTGTGGGCAGCTTGGGGCCCATGCCGGCCTCTTTCAGCTCAGCAGCTTCGGGGCGCGGTGTCTTCTGCCTTCAGCATCGCCCCAGGACGCACATCAACAGCAGCCCGCCGGTTTTCCAGTCCCCGGGCGCAGCGCGGCAGG